TAGGCTCTGAAGTTTTACATTGTTTTGTTTTTGAGTGCAGTTATGTAAAAAAAAAATCTTAATTTGTAAATTGCACTTTCGCGATGAAGAGATTGCACTACAGTACTTGAATGAGGTGAATTGAAAAATAATATTTCTTTTATTTTTACAGTGCTAATATTTGTAATAAAAATAATATAAAGTGAGCACTGTACACTTTGCATTCTGTGTTGTAATTTAAATTAATATATTTGAAAATGTAGAAAAACATCCAAAAATAGTTAATAAATTTCAATTGGTATTCTATTGTTTAACAGTGTGATTAAACCTGCGATTAATAATCGCAAATAATTTTTTTTAGTTAATCGTGTGAGTTAACTGTGATTAATCACAAACCCTAATTTGAATATTTCACAAGTGCATTTGTCAATGTCACCTGTATATTTTACTTGAAAATTTGTATATCCTTATTTCTATTTTCTGATTAGCTCTAGTGGTTTGGAACCTACAAACTGTGGCTCTTGGTATCAGGTGCACCTTGGGCCTGCAATTTTGCTATTTTTAACCCTTAGGAGAGCCCTTCATTGGATTCAGTCTAGTACTTTAGTGTTCTCTCTTCCTCAGCTAAAGCACCAAGGAATTTTGGATGTGCTCTTCTTAGTTGATCCCTCAGAAGGAAATCTTGGCTTCGTGGAGCATAATCTGAGTTGATCTGTTAGAGGGTCTTAAAACTAAACAACAATCAAAAAAACCCTAAAACAAAAAAACTGCAGGAGTAAAAATAATGGAGGCAAAAGTCCAGCAACAGAGTAGGGGCTGTCTAATTTATTGCAGTGACTGCAGCATGTACGATTACCTGCCTTGTGGGCAGGTGTGCACCTGGTGCAAGCAGCTCATGGCCTTCAGAGACCAAGTACAGGCTCTTGAGACCAGAGTGGCTGAACTGGAGGACCTGAGGGAGACAGAGAGGTACATAGACAAGACTTTCCAAGACACGGTAGAGTCATTGCAACAGCACAGAGGCTGTCAGACTGGGGGTGGGAAGGATGAAAGTCTCTGGAAAGGAGATCATGAAACTGGAGTGGAGGGAAATGTTCCCATAGTTGGGACTCTCCTGCCATATATCATACCATGGTATCCTCACACACTGAGGATACCCCTCTAGGTGAGGGAACCCCAGTTATTAGGGAGACAGGTAATAGTAATGGGGGATTCAATCATTAGAAATACAGACAGTTGAGTCTGTGATGACTGGGAGAACTACATAGTGAATTGCCTACCAGGTGCAAAGGTTGCAGATCTCAAGAGACATCTAGACCGACTTATGTGCAGTGCTGGGGAGGAGCTGGTGGTCGTGGTACATGTTGGTACCAATGACATAGGGGAAGTGATTTGTTCTTCACTGTTGTTCCTCTCACAATATTCGAGCTATAGTAGACAAGTCCTATAAAGAATTCATGTACCAATGTGAATGGAGGCCAAGACTGGTTTTGCATTTAAATAACTACTTCCCCACCCCAAGATGTTTTTTACTTTTAACACATTAACTAAAATTTTGCAACAGACGTTTTAACATGTTAAAATAAAGATACACTTTGATAACATACATTAGATTAATTTCAACCGTAAAAATAACCAGATTGAATATCATTACTTTTTCCTGAATGTGGTATAGCAAATAGACAACTATATAACAAAGCAATAATTCCATTTCTGAGATCTACTGGCATCGAAACAAAGAAAATTTAAATTCCCTCTTTTGGTTTATATCATCACCTAAATTTTGAAGGAATTATAGCTTCATTATATACAAATGGATGCACATTATTCCATATTTAATCTCAAAAATTGTTCCAAATGTCTAAAATAGAACAGGCATAAAAATATTCTGAATAATCAAACTTAGCCATGGAATAAGGATGGAGCTCTGTGAAGTGAAACTCACAGCTTAATAGGAGAAAGAAAACCTTAAGACACAGCCTTTTATTTCAAGAATGGGGCTGTGAAGGGAACTTCATAATCTTCTACCTACCGTTTCCCAAGTCCACCGGGTGCCTGATGGGAAGAATAAGCACCTATTATTGCACATTTTTTCAAACAGGCAAATGTGTAATTCTACATATAGGTTGCAATTCAGCCAGGTAGTTAAACGTGCATGTAACGTTTAACACATGAGAGGCAGGCAGCAGTCCCATTCAAACTAAGGGGGCCAACGTCCTCTGCTGAATCAAGGTCATAAAGCCCTTCTGCCGCTATGGATCTGTTAAGAGTACTACGCCTATAACATTACACAAAGTGTTACTTTACATTATTTTAAATATAAAGAACAATGAACATGTGCTAACATAGATGTAAACCTATTGTAACATTCCTCTTCTTTTTACCAAGCCAACTATTTGCAACTATCCTGTACCAAATACATTATATTAAATGTTTTACAGAACATCCAGCCAACATAATATCAAAATATATTTTATTCTGGACCTCTTTCAGATCTGATTCAAATTACAGTTGTCAGAGCAATACAATGCAAAGGGAAACTGCAACAGAAAATGTGCCTAGAAGGGATATGGGTTTTGGGGACAAATCATTGTGATGTAGAACCAAAATAACATCAGTGTAATTAACATGGTCCAGGACAGTATAGAACATCTATATCAGTCTTCTTTAGACAATAATCATGAAAACTGAACAATAAAAGTCCTTTAAACAAGTACAAAAAACTGTCATGGGCTGGTTTACACTTTTACAACAATTGTAGTTTAACTGGATAACTGAAGAAATGATGCAGACATTTTAATCCAGTGCTATAGGAAGGCTCACAGAATTAGACCCAAAGGATTTGTAACTTCAAAATGAAACCATTACAACTACAGTGTGAATGTCAGGAGAGAGAGAAAAAATTATGTCTGTATTCTAGGATTACTGATCTGCACACTGCAGTCTGTTGTGAAACAAGATTGCAAAGTACACTGGACTAGCTACAACATGCAGACTGTTTTTCTGAATTTATCCTCTAATGACAGGAAACCATTCTGAAGTAAAAATGCTTGTTACTGAAAAGAAAAAAAAGTAATTAATGTCCTAAGTTATCATCAGGCCTCAACCCCGGAAACTTAAAGGATAAAGAGGAGAATTTTGTAACTCTTCAAAAACTACGGAGCTGAAGCACTATTAACACAAAATCTGCAATTTTTAAAAAGGAACGGTGCACTTTTCTGTTGTTTTGTCTGCCTTCAATCATATTCATGTTGAAAAAGTCACTATTGAACGTGATATTTCAGAGTTTGCACTAGAGGAAGGAGTGAAAACTGCATCACACCTTCCTCTTCACCAGGGAAAATGCCAGGCGTCTTCATGGAGATTTACTGCCATCTTCTAAACCAGTACTTTCTTCCAACATGCCACAATATTGCTCCTGCTTTGTGCAGACTACTGGAGATCCCTCTTCATACAAGTTCTACAGGCATTTTCGGTAGGAAGAAGTCGTCTGTAGGAGAGTACTGCTTGCCAAGCAAATGGAATACTGAGCTAAATCCTGCAGAGTTTGCTCAAGCAAAATTCTCACTAAGTTTTTCCTGGCCCATTATACCTAAGTGTCACATTGTCCAATACTTAGAAGGACCCAATCCTCCAATGGTTACTTAGGCAAAAGCTTCCCCCTGAAGTGAAAAAGTCAATGGGATTTTAGACTGAGTAAGGACTGGAAAATTGGCCCCTATGTCTTCTCTTTAGTAAACAGAGGAAACATACAACCTTTCATTTACAAGCTGAAAAGCCACTTTTGCAAGTCTAATGAAGTTCCTTTATATGACAGAATTAAATTCATTAGTTGTTAGATTGCTCTATAGCCAAGGCGAACTGGTACAACAATCCTATTGTACCTACTACATTTCCTAAAGATAGAGAATGCTTTAAAGTCAGCAATGTCTCCTTAAATACCCTAACATGAGGTAAGCAGTGTAAGGAAAAAGGAATGCATTTAAAAACATAAAAATTAAAGTTGGTACAAATCTTTGGCCTTTCTCTTAAGATTCACTAAAGTGTCCTAAAATCCAGAAACATGTTTCAACTGTCATGTCATTCAAACTCTGGTGATTATTACTTCCTTCCCCCAACCCAGAAAGAGAGGCACTTTTAGTATTTCATACAAGAGTTCCAGTCCTCTGCCAGACACACCATTTAACCCCGTAAAGAAGTATTCCCCAAACAGAATTATCAAGACCACAAAGAATTAAAAAAAAAAAAAAAGTTTTCATGAGGACTTGTAAACAATACTAGAAAGTCAAAGGGTTGGGACTTTTTACATCAATTTTAAATCACAGGAGCCAAAGTAAAAATAGAAAATGGTATCTCCAGGAAGACCTGGAACTCCTTATACAGAAATGGGAAACAAGAAATTACTAAGTTGATGATAAAACAAAAGATTGCAAACATGACAGCAGCCCATGCCTCAACCCATCCACAAACGTGACCCCAGTCTTCCCTAACTAAAGTTCCTTCCCAAGAATTCACTCTGCTGGAAAAAATGTTGACTTACAAACATATGCAAAGATTTATACACGTTTAACTTCACATACTGGGAGCAGCCCCATTGACTTCAGTGGGACATTTAGCATGTAAAGTTAAACATGTGCTTACGTCTTCACAGAATTGGGGCCTTAATAATATTAGGCATGTACCCCCTTAAAGGGAGGAGTGTGGAAAATCTACTTTGTTCTACTATATACGAGTCTCAGCACTAGAAAAGAATCTAATGACCATGGTACGCCTTCTTGCCTCACATAAAACATGGAAATAAGCATCATGCACGCACATGGCTAACCCTGTATAATACATGAGACAAGAGGAAGTTTGTGCAGAACAGGAGCAGCACTGTGGCATGTTGATAAAGAACAGCAGCAAAAAATATACTGGCCAGATCCTCATAGCTCCACTGCAGCGGAGCATCGCTGATTCCCACCAGCTTGATGTCTGGCTCATGGATCCAGAGATACTGCAGGAATATCAGTTTCATAGGCCTGGGTGTGTACAAACATCTGAAAACCCACAGTCCTGTGGTAACGAAGCTCTGTATTTTCTAATTATGGATACTTGACATTATGCTTAAGCAACTAGAATTACTCAAAACTAAAACAGCTGAAGATTGAGAAAAAGAAAAGTGGCAATACCATAAAACATGGCTGTGGTTTTGCAGTTATGTCACAGAATTCCACAACATTTTTTTTTAATTCGCTGAAACAACCATCCAATAACTTGTATGAAAATGAATAAACTGTCCATATTAAAATACAAAAGTACTATCAAGAATCACCTCTGACTTTCAATTTAAATTCAGTGCAATCGACAAATGCATTGCTAAAGGAAAAATGCAGCTTAAATATACTCAAAACATTTGTGTCTATTCCTGGGAGCACAGTTTAAAATTATTGCACAGATTTTTTTTTATTTTTTCTTAATAATGACAGAGGTCAGCCACAATCATGGACCTCCAGCAATAAAAGCAATATTTCAAGTGCCAGACACTCAACATATTAGGTTTCCTACATATTGTAACTCACAGGGTAGTTGTTCTAAACAGTAATATGTTCCAAAACCCTAAAAATAGCTGGCACAGAACCATCATGGATGACTGCCTTTATGGATATGAATGTTTGGTTGTTTTTAAATTCGGTGTATTATAGTATTATCTGCCCCACTGATAATAACTGAGGTACATATTATGAATGTATGTATTCTTTTTACCACCGGCAAACTGCCACCCTACCTTAGCCAAACTCAGACTTGCTTCAAGTCATGTTAGTCTGTGGCAATAGCAGAAATCAATGCCTAAAGAACAATTCTGTTAAAATGTAAAAGCTGCATTATTTGGGTTAAATCAATTTATACTTAACTACAGAAAGTTAAAGTTAAGCGATCATAAGCCACAAAATTAATTTGTGATGGAAATAGTGTTATAAAACTGATAACTTTGCAAAGCTTTATAATATAAACCATTTCTTAAGTAAAATGTTTGTGACATAGATTTGACAACCTCTTTTTATAGAGATTTATACGCCTGGAATCTTATGCGAGACAAAACCCTTTCAACTCCATATAGGCATAAACACGACCCTCATGCTATAATTTACAAATAAAATCACTATCAATATACTTTTAATCACATGAGCAGAAAAAGGTTTGCCGCTTATATATGTCGCTGTAAGAAAAATATTTGATATTGTAAACAGAGTAAAAGACACAATATAGTAGTGATTATTAAAAAAATAGCAGCTTACATCTACCTTATATTTGGAAAAAAATGTAGTCACAAGATACAACAAACTGCAGGACTGGAGCAGCAGGGGAATTAGTGCAAGTATTCATCTTTTAAATAAGCTGAATCACTGCTATTAAAATAAACTTGAAGCAAGTCCTCTGTTTTTAAGGTTTTTTTAAATCTAAGGTAGTAAACATTTTGCCTGATAACGGCAGTGTTATCAAATATATGCCAAAGATTTTTTTTGTATAAAGAAAAATTACATTAGATACTTTTAATACTGGAATTTGGTTACATTAGATATCTGAGCTCCTACGAACAATGATGGGCAACTCTTGTAGAAGCTGTGGCATGAACCCTCGTCCAAAAAGATTTTAATCTTTTAAAAAACAAAAAAAACCAACCAATCAACCAACCCTCCCCCCCCCCCAAAAAACTACATTTTGCTCCTTTTCACAATAGTGCACAATTTAACCATAATTTAGCTATGGTCTCAAAGCAACAGAAGATGCATATCTTTATTTATTTATTTGCATCCCTGTATTTTTGTGTGTGCGCGCGCGCCCTTCTATTCTTAAGTTTGGCAGAATTATGTCCCAAATAAGAAACTACTGCATTTCAGCCATGTCATTAGAAAAAATCCACAGCATTATACCCATTGCTGACGTACTTTATAGATTAACAGGACATGAAACGTCATGTCTCAGAGGTGAGTTTCTTTTTTCTCTCCCCCAGTCACCCATCTTCCACCCTCCCTCCCCCCTCAAAATTGTGCTCTCGGAGCCACAGAATGTACCAAATATCAAGTTCACTCTACCTCTTGAAATAATGCATTAAAATATATATATTTTAAAAGAAACTCTGTTTAAAGGTGAAAAAATATAAACAAGGAACCGATTCACTCCCTTACTTCATGCATCCGTAAACTTAACCAAAATGAAACAAAAAAACCAATGTTTAAAAGCAAAGAACAAAATACCGCTGCAGGTTTATGCAAGTCCGTTTTCTCTGTACACGCAAACTGCTCAACTACTGAGAAGGGGGAGGGGAAACAAAACCACAAACCATCGTGACTCTGGATTAAAAAGGGAGAAATAAAGGCTGTCATTAGTATCTTCCAAATTTGGTACATGTATGGTCTGCTCTTGTATGGTATATTTCTCTCTCTTCTGTTTTTCATACGCGAAACTTCTAAATGTTATTTTGGGGCACAGCAGATTCCAGCACTTGGTGAACAGGATTCACAAGCTGTGACAAAACTCTGTCATCCTCTTCAGGGTGTAATCTTTATTTTATTTTATATACAGTATATGTATATATTTCTTTTAGGTTTGGCTGTACTGGACTGGCCATGGTTCAATTGGGACTATAGCAGTACATGGGTTAGGGACAGTCATTTTGGCTATGTACACATTCATAGTCGGTCCATGGCTTCCAACTAGTAGCGCTATTTCCGTAGGTCTAATACACAAACCTGTAAGAAAAAAGAAATATATATACAGAAATGCACACTGCACAGCATTTTTACAGCTAAACAATTCTATATATAATATAAGGTCATAACAACAACAACAAAACAGGTTATGCAAATTAACCACAAATCTATTATTGGCAGGAAAAACAAACCCATGAACAACATTGTGCATCATCTGTAAACTATGAATACAATAGACAAAACCAAATGATTCTGGGTAAAATTTTCAAAAGCACCTAAGTGATTTAGCAGCCAAAGTCCCATTGACTTTTATGGACACTGAGGCTTCTAAGTACCTAAGTAATTTTTTAAAATGTGATTTAGGTGCTATTGAAAAGTTGCCCTTTACATTGTTATTCCCTGAGTATTCCTCCTGGTGCCCATTTGCTTAAAAATTGGCAATTTTTTTTGCCGTGTGCTGTGCTAATAACGTGTAACCAGGTGCTCCTAGTACTGCCATCCTTGTCTTCTGTTCCACAATCCCCAACCCCTGTGGTGTTCTACACCCCACTGTTGTGTCTTGTCCTTCTTTAAATTGCAAACTCTTTGTAGCAAGGTCGATCTTTTTTCTTTTATGTTTGTACAATTCCCAGCACACTCAGGCCATATTAAGGGTCTCTGAATGCTTTGCTAATACATATAATAATCACCGATTTACCAGAATATTGTGACAAAAATAGCTAGTCTCAGGTCATTCCTATGCAAAAGCAAAAGTTGCTCATAAATGACAATGATATTGAACTACTGCATTTTTTTGCACATGGAGAATTCATTAGCATGTAAAGACACACAATGGTTAAATGAGGGGTTTTATATGGATTTTGCTTCTCCAGATTAAAAAACTCCCAAGGGATTAACATGGTTATATCCCAGTCATTCAAAACAAGACCTAATTGGAACTTCAACGGTTTCTTTTTTGTTATGGGAAACCAACAAAAACAACAAAAAAGGATACTGTGAATTGTTTTGCCTAATATGTGGTAGTTAAAAGCCAAGGAATCTATCTGGAGCCAATTTGTGAAGTACTGTAAGATCTCATTAAATCTGCATTGTGGGAAGATGAAAATATTAGAACAGATTGGACCAGCCAAGAAAAGAACATCTAATAGTACACAGTTTCCTATTATAATCTAATCAGAAGATGGATCAATTGCTAGAGCCTGGAGTTCCTTCATGTCTACAAATTGAGGCTACCCTACCAGAAAAAGAAAACCACATATAAACTACATTTGCGTTCTTCATTTGTTTCATTATTACCCAGTTTATGGTATAACTAGCTCTGGATTAGCGGGGAAGCTGTGGGTGGATTTAAAGATATCATTTTACTAACAAACCTCACCAGAGACAGTAGAAATAACAGCTTTTTAAATGTTCAATTAAAACTAGTGTCACATGACACATGAACTTAATGGGGAGATATCTGTAAATTTTGTCTGAATATATTCAAATTATCTCCCCTTTAGGATAAGTAGAGGACAAATCCCTACACGTTCCCAGTAGATAATTTAGGGCTTCCGACACTTTCCTAGAGATTCCAAAATGCCGGCTACCCATTTTTACATGATGCAGACCGTATGAAAACTTTCTTTCACTGAGATGAAGTCTCTGCAATGTGGTTTCATTTCTTTTTGTACTCAAGAGAGCTGCCCACTTTCTGTTCTGAACCACGACAAACCAATCTATTTTGGCCTTCCCAAAAGTTGTCCTCAGTTTATTTACTTTATCAAATGTCCTCTTAAAGGGTCTGAAAGGATCATTTTCTATCATCCAGAAAGATTTAACTGGAAGCCACTTGACTTCATTGCTTGAAGGAATACTTCTTGGTATCAGAGAGAGAATCCTGCCTTTCCCCAACTGTGCTTTCTTTCTTTCTATATCTATATGTATGTGTCAGAAGCTGGGGGGAGGGAACATGCAGACTCTCTGGCATGTGGGCTATCAGATCATTTGAGTCTCTGGACTGTGAAGGTACCAGGTTAGCTTCTCTCACTTACTGACTTACTTATGGCACTCCTTCAAGCTACCAACTCCCAGAGTACATGCCCAGAATAGCTCTTACCCAACACTCTTATTTCTGATTTGTGTTGGGCTTGATCCCTGTCTCTCTCCTTTCTTATTAACCCATGACATTAAGAAGTCACTGTTTGCCTGGCTGCTGTGCAGAGTCACACATGAATATTTTTAATGCAGTGTTGTTGCAGGCTGACATCAAAAGAACTGGAAGGCTACACTTTGTCACACTGCTACAGGGAAGAAAGGGCAGATTCATGCTTTATTAGAATTTAGGAGCTCATCTCCTGGGCACTCCAAACAATGTAAGCAAAATGTTAATTGTATAAAGGGACTTGTAACCAGTGAGTGCTCAGAAATTTGTTTAATTCGTCTTCGTTTAATTCTCAATAGCAACTCAAATGATACTTCATTCATATCAGATATAAAAAAATGCCCCCCTACACTGATCAGTTCTCTTGAAATGAAACAGGTTGCAAGCAACTAATTTCCACACTGAAATGAACAGACCAGTTATTATGTACATATTTCTATAGCACATGTTGTTTTATAGCCTCTCCTGGCTCAAAATCGTAATATTTCACACTTGCATCTGACAATTTTAAAGGTCTTGACAAATCGAAATGGATTACACTTCACAAAACCCCTGTGACCAAGAGAGACAACTTCCAACCTTGCCTTAATTTCGGATGGTCATTTGAATGGAAAACAAGTGCAGCTTTATGCCACATTTTATAGGTAAAATTGTAGATAATTGGCTATTTGTACTCATTCTTCCTCAGAATAAGCACAATTTCTCTCCGTTTAGTCAACAGTCCTCCAGCCTATCCGACTGTCTAAAAAAATATACACGTGTAAGAAATGTTGGCGATTGTTCTACTATACTTACTGAACCATCTGAAGCACTTGCTCCAACTTTGTCTCCTGCTGCATTCCAGCAAACCTCAAAAATCCCTCCTGTTCCCCGATAACTGTGAACTAAAGCACCCGTCTACACGGGGGGGAAAAAATGCAATTAGAATAATAAAATGCACACGAGTAAGTAGAGTTTGTACAGTATGTAGAACTTCCCTGTTACTTTTAAAGGGTGAAATTCTCCCCAGGGGAAATGATCCATTTAAGATCTCACGTACAACTTAAGCATCATGTTAAAGCATTTACCAAACTCTGTTATCCTGTATACCAGGATATTCTAGTACAGAGGTCTCCTTGCAAAACAGCAATTACAGTTCAGAATTTCTGGATATACAGTTATTCTTTTCTGGAACTGGATCCAAAACATGCAACAACATCATATATCACTGACTGTAGCTGCTTTGGATAACAGCTATAACTATGTATGAACAAGTCAGCTATTTATACTTTTCAGAACCCAGCCTATGCATGTGTGTTGAATCCTTATGCTGAAGTTGTGACACTGAATAAACATGTCTGTGAGAATTAGTTTGTGGTTTACACAGAGAAGTCATATTTTAAGTTCTAAGTTTTACCTTGTCAAAAATTTGCAGAGAGACCCATTTGAACTGAAGAAAGCTACTTTCACATACTATATTTAATATTTATATTGAATATACAAAGCTACAGCAGCTGAAACAGCTTTAGAACAATATATGATTCACTGAATAAGTCTGAAACACACCAATCAAACAAACTGGCTCATATAAAAACAGCATGTACCTGTGTATTCCAGATGTGAACACATTTGTCAAAAGAGCCGCTGGCCAGGTACCTGCCATCAGGGCTGAAAGCTACACTGTACACAGGTTCTTGATGTTTCGTTAAAGTGTGGATGCAAATTCCTCTGTCTACATCCCATAACCTAACAGTAGAATCAAAGGATGCACTGCCAAAGGAAAAACAGATGGATTACATTTCAATTTTATTCATTTTTTCCCCTTTGATGGTGTTAAAAATCTCTTCTTTAATGCCAGAATATCTCCTAAAGTAGAGGTCCAGTTAGTGCTAACATACATTTACAGAAGGCGAAAAAGGAGGGGGGCAGAAGGGAGAGGGGCAGGGGGAATTGTCAACTTCTTGACTGGTATGATAAAAGGATTAAATATTACCTTGCTAACATAAGATTGGCATTTGGATTGTTTGTTCCTGGTCCTGTAGGACTCCATTTGATAGTATAAATTTCTTTGTTGTGTGCTTGTAAATCATGGACACAACTATCTTGTTTCATACTCCAGATCTAGGTAAAAATGGAAGGAAAAAACAGATTATGTTTAGGGTATTAAACACTACACTAGAACATACGGATTCTCCCACCCTCTTCCTTGCTCACAGCTAACAAGGCCCAACTGACAGCTTTTTAGGCCACCCAAATCATACACTATCGCTGGTTGCTTCAGTATAGCATGGGGTTAAAAAATAAACAAAGGAGTGACATGCAATATTTCCTACCTAAACAAATGCATGCATGCTCATTGCGAGTTCAATCCAAAGACCACTGAAGTCAATGGACATGTGCTAAGATACAGCGAGCATATAGTGGTGTTTGTGTCAAAGTTGTATGAACTGATTATCACGGTTATCACTGAGCTTTGTTTTTAAATAGACTTCGTGCTACTATGGTAGGGTGCAGAAAAGGATATTGGGGAAATATACTTCTTCAAACAGAATAATATATGCATAATGGAAAACCGTTAAGGTGTTTGACTTGGTGGGGTAATAAGACTTTACCGGGATCACCTTTTTGTTCTGGGTTTGTACAGCACAATAGGATCCCAATCCATGAGTAGGGCTCCTACATGCTATCATAATACAAATAATAAAACAAAAACAAACGAACAAAGTATTCCTTTAAGGGTTTGTGTTTTCATTACAAAAACGGGTTTGGGAGCATTCATAAAGCTTTGCATACATTTGAAACTTGATATTCATTCAAATTATTTGTACAAGTGCAATTTTTTTCCTTTAATGATATCTAATTTGGTATCATTTTAGCTCGCCTCACTTTAGTCGTGACTCAGGAAAGCATTTAGGGTATGTCTACACCCAGCCGCTAGTTCGGTGGCTGGGAATCGAAGTTCTGGGTTCGACTTATCGCGTCTTGTCTGGACGCGATAAGTCGAACCAGGAAGTGCTCGCCGTCGACTGCGGTACTCCAGCTATACGAGAGGAGTACCGCGGCGTCGACGGGGGAGCCTGCCTGCCACGTGTGGACCGAGGTAAGTTCGAACTAAGGTACTTCGACTTCAGCTACGTTATTCACGTAGCTGAAGTTGCGTACCTTAGTTCGAATTGGGGGGTAAGTGTAGACCAGGCCTTAAACATACTCCTAAGTCCATCTTTGTTATGGCCAGCACTTAAACATGTGTTTAGAGTTAAGATGCTTTCCTGAATCAGAATCCCTTTAAAGACAGCGGGCACCGGGAGGGGAGAGAGGAAAGATTTTATTATATTTCTGATTTAAAATGGCTGGATCAAAAAATAAAATCTAGTTTATTTTCCCTCATTGTGAAGAACGTTCAGCACCAGTAAAAGTTTCTGTATGAAAAACCTTAGAGACTAAAGTCTTCATTTTATCCACTGGTTTGAAAACACATTGGCATCATCAGTCCAAGGCTCCCCTTACCGCCATATCCAGGTGGCTCAAACATAACCTGGAAACACCACCTCTAAACATGAGTAGTTCAATCTTCTTCCCGGTTCACTCCTTGGGAAAGGCCAATAAGTGTGCTAACTGCAATGGGGGGGTTAATGATGGGGATATCTATCCAATAGCAACTACAGTGGAAGACCACGAGACCATCAAACAGCTTGTGAAATGAAGAGATTGCTGTCAATTTGGTTTAGATGTGAAGCAGCAACCTGGAGGTGAAAGGCTCTATATCAAGAATGAGCTACAGAGTACACTAGGCCCTTCTAATAAAAAAATAAAATATAAACAACAGAGTTTTCCTGGTTTGAAACATTTGCAGTATCTATTTGCATATTTCTGTTATATAAAGTCTTAGTAAAAGAAAAAGCATTGATGTGTTGTAAGAGTACATCCAAAATCCCAGTTACAGCCATAATGATCAAAGTGTATTTAGAGAGAATCTGAAGGGACTGTGACCTCTGTATTAACAAATATAAAATAACGTTAAAGGCCAGGTTCTCATACTCTGACTCTGGTTTAGCTACATCTTAACTCCATAAATAGTTCTACTAACTTCAGGGGGATTCCTTGTAAAGTAAGATATTATTCAATGTAAGGAAGGGTATCTTAACCTATCCTTCAGAGAGACTGAAGAATGGTGGTGTCCACTCTCATATACTTTGCAACATCAGGTCTTTTGTGCCTAAGTGTATGGAATGTAATAGCAGACGGGTTCCTAAAACACCTGCCACTAGCTTAACATAATGAGGTGAGTAAATGAAATGATACTGGAAAGCATCAACTCTAAAATGAGAATGGTAGGGGCATTCAAGTCAATTCAAGTCCATCTTCAGTTTTTCTATGGTACCTACCACCGTGGTATCTAAGCTTGGACTCCTAATGCAATGGCAGACCCTTCATACTAATCTATTTAGTTCCATAATTTCCCCCAGTTAAACAAGCTGTATTATAAGGCGTCATGCAGCTGTGAATTATTCATGTGCATAACAAGGAGTCCTGTTGAGTCAGCAAGGCCAGAGGACTGCAGACAATCTTTCAGGGAAACTGGGTAGCAAGCAATATGGTAAACGTGGCCATGTTGAAAATGTCTTTTTAGACCCATTTACCGGTATTTGCATGGGAGGCAGACCGTGGAATAGACAGGTTGCATGACGAAAGACACTACTGCTCACTTGTTAAATTCTCAATCAAGCACCTTTATGGTTTTTCCCACACTGCCCCATGTGCATGGGAGAAGGTCTCCGTAAACATCCGCAAAACTAACTCGTTATCATCCTTCAAATGCCTCCTTAAAACTCTCCTCTGCCATGGTGCCTACAGAAAAACCTAATAAAGGATAGGCTGAAACCACTGCCTGTCATGATGATCAATACTGCCTCCTTGTTTCCTTGTACTTCCCCATCACTCTGTTTCCATCTATCTCTTGCCTAATACTTAAATGGTAAAGCTCTTTGGACAGGGGCTGCCTTTCTGTTCTGTATTTGAGCAGCACCTCGCACAGTGAGGGCCTGGTCCATACCTGGAGCTCTAGGTGCTATGATAGTACTACTAATAATATTAAGACAGCTATGAAGAAAGCCAGCACAGGAGCTAGCTGCAGCCTGGTCCTACATAAACCGTACACTACATTGATTGTAACATTTCTCTTTGAGCAAGACTGAGCAATGTCTCTATAACCACAAGTGTACGTGATAGCACAATTATTAATGGGCCTGATCCTGTAAACCGCTACATGTGTACAGTAAATTATACTCAAATTCCCGTGAAGTCAATGCATAAGTTCACAGGGCCGGGCCCTTTGGATGAAAGACTGTCTTTAACGAATAGAGATATTTTAGGAATGTCTGAGTCAGGTTTTTAAAAAAGGACAAATGTTAAAGAATAAAATAATGACGTTAAAATTACTGAATTACCAAACAACAAAGGCTAGTAGTGCACATGGTAGATCTCTACAAACACACACAGAGGTTGCAGTGTACAATAACTATAAAAATGTACCACTGCCCAAAATTGCAGTTACCTTTAAAGTCATGTCATCAGAACAGGATGCCAGAAGATTACCAGTCGGATCCCATTTGATTGCATTTACTTCATTCTAAAATTGAATAATGAAAATAAAGTTGAAGTCTTTGTTTCCATTATAAACGACAGCTTACAAAAATAAAGTTAGACAGTAAATAGGAGTACTTGTACAGTTACATTTCAAAATACTATCAACTCCCGTTTCCATTCCACCAGCAATACCAACCCTTATCGCCCAATAGTCAAATTTTCCCAAAGCACCTTTGTGCCTTCTTCTGCATGGGTGCATCTCAAAGCCATCACATTACTCTCCTTCAAATCTCTCTTTGAAGTTCACCTATGTTGTGGTGCTTAACAATCACTTGACAATGGTAAGGCAGCTGGTGTGCTGTGACTGCTGATTACTCTAATCATAAATGTTTCACTGTTACCTTGTACATCCTACCCCGTTTATGGTATCCACCTATTGTCTCTTGCCAAGGACTGGTTGGATGTTATATACCATACAGTGCCTAGCACAATACAGCCCCCATCTCGGATTAATACTACTACTAATATACTGATACTATGAAATGGCAAACACACATTTTCCAACAAATTAAGTAATAAGGAGATTTTAAAACTTCATTCAGTATATAGAAACCAAGTCACTACTTACTGTGTGACCCTGGAAGGTTTTGATGGGTCTATCTTGTCCTAATTTACAGACATGAATACACATATCTGTGCTGCAAGAAGCAAATGTGTTGTTACTCTGCCAGTCAACATCTAATGCTGGTGCTAGAAAAACAAGGAGAGATATTTAAGTTAAGATATATACTTTGGAAAGGTTTGATTTGTGTGAATCTTAAGTGCATCCGCTTTGTAACTCGGAACAAATGCCAACAGGGAGTGACTAAATCAAGTTAAAAGAATTAACAAAGGGTTTTAAACATGTTAGAGCAGTGGGAAATGTAACCAGCAAATGCAGTTTAATGTAGACACATGAAATTAAGTTTAATAGGAAAGAATCAAAACAAGGAACACATCTGAAATGAAACAATTCTACAGAAGGCAAGACAGACATTGATGTCTAATAGCACAATAAGCCACTGTGAATCGATCCAAATTTGAGACATAATCATGGTCCTTGCACCCCTAGCTGGCGGGAGCTGGAAGCTCATTGCAAATACCACTCCCAGCTCCTCCCAAGTAGCCGTGAATGCTTTACATTATTCAGTAGTGACCCCTCCTGTTGTTGCCATGCCATTAAGTCCATGAAGTTAGGGGAGTCAAAAAAGGTGGGAATATGAGGGAGTTCGGAACAGGTACCAAATGACATATTCTTTGCTTCCTCTGCTCCATCTCCCAAGCCACCAGGGGTAAAAGAAATAATGAAATGGACTTGTCTGTTTTGATTTTTAAATAAATCTATTTTAATTCTGGATCATAAATAAAGATATAAAACACAAACAGATCTTAATTTTGGGTAAGTTCTTAAACCCACACAGATGATATGAAAGTTAGTTTTCATTAATGTTTCATTTAGCAAGAGGGACATGCCAGTTTACAATAATACATCTCTATTATAGTTTTTCCCCACATACAACATAACACTGAAATACAGGTTATCAATGATGGTAGCAGACACACACAATTTTTTTTTCAAAGATATATTACTCGGACAGTTTGTGTGCTGTCAGATCCAAATTAAAAAGCTATAAATAGGTATATTAGATTTGAAAAAGCCCAGCATGTTAACGTTTTAAAACTTTTTGTTCTGTTTTTGACCAATCTGAGCTGTCACCCGCAGAGAAGTACTTACCAGAATGAAAGGGAAACTGCTGCTTGGCTTCTCCGGTATGGGCATCCCAAATAATTGTGGTCTGAGTTAAAAAATAAACAAACTTGTAAAACTGCTACAAATCATAGGTCTTTTCCATCATTAACGTCTATTAGGTCCTCTACTCTCATCTTCCTGCTGGCCAGGATTGGTCACTATTATACATTTTCTAGTGTTTTATCAAGTCTAGTTTCACACGTCCCAAACAATGGGTCTTCTACCACTTCCTTTCAAAAGACTACCCTAATATATTTTAATTGCCAGGAAGCAAGCACTTCCTGACTGCATCTTAATTTTTTCCCCCTTTTAACTTAATCACATTACTCATAATTATACCTTTTTGTCTTATCGTAAATAATTCCTTTAACTTCAAATATTTGTAGGCCATTATGTGCTCTCTGTTACTGACACTTAGAAGAGCTATATATATTTATAGCTTTTAAATCTATTCTCATAAATCAAACTCTTCAGCTACTAAATTATTTCTGTTACCTTCTTCTAAACTCTTCTTTAAGCAGTTTGCCAATACTCTGGCATCTTTCTGCTATACAAATATTTCATATGAGTAAGTCAACTATCATGGCAAAATAAACATATTTTAAAAATAATTATATTATATCCTATGGGCCTGATTCTACTGTGACAGAAGTTAGTGAGATTTTGTCACTGCATTCAATAGAAGCATGAACTGATATTTTCTTACAGAAGTTAGTTCACGGAATACATGACTCTTTTCATCTCCCAGACAATGCAGAATATTTTCTTACATTATATTCTCAATTGCATTCTCCAGTTGAGTTTTAAATGATTGAGGCAATGAGGCTTCTACCTCCTCTTTTGGGAGATCATTCACAATCTAACTGGATCTAATCAAATTTTTCCTGACAGCAAAGCCTGCATTTACCTTTGCACAATTTTGGACCCCCACTCTGAGTTATAAGCCCAGAAAATCCTAAACAATCCCTCTCAGTTCTTTATGTTTTTACTCTTCAATACCTCCCTGTTCTAACTACTGTCTGAAAAACCTCTCAATTCAGAAACAGCTTTATTTTCTCTTCCTTTATTTTTCTTAAAGATGTGGTCTAAAACCTGATTCAGCAATGATTGCCGCTGCACTGCACTGCCCACTTCCCCACATTTAGATACATTGCCATTTTTCATTCTTCCATTTTTCGAGATACTGTACCTCAGAAAATAAATCCTAGATACATTGGTTTTACACTGGTGTAATGCCACTGACTTCAGGGGAGTTACTTTTGACTTACATTGTTATAACAAAGAGAACCAGGCCCATTTTATCCACTGCATTCAAATCATCAACTAATTTTCCAACTCTACATCACATAATCAAGTTTATCTAGCACAACTGGTTCTTTATAAATCCATACTTTCTATGACTTTAATATCTTCTAACTGCTTACCAAATTCTTATTTTAGTGTTTGTCACGCATAATTTAATCATGAATTAAATAATTTATTTAGCCAATAATTCTCACCTTGTCCACTCCGGCACTTAAAATGAAGTTTCCTTTCTTGTTCCATTTTAATGCAAATATAGGTCCTTTATGTTGCCCTAAGGTGCTGGCAAGATTACCTGAAAATTTACATTGAAATTATTACATTCAAGAAATGAGAGAAACATGTAGTGAGGCACTACGCAGAAAAATATAATGGAAATGTAAAGCATTTCAATTACCGTCTTTAGTCCATATCCTTGCAAATCCATCATACGACCCAGTTGCTAGAAGTGTACCTTCACTCTGTCAGCAAAAAAGTTATTACATTTATTATACAATTCAAAACTAAGGGGCACAGAGCAAACTTCAAATAGAAAATGTTTTGCATAAGGGTCATGCTATTTAGTCCAGAACCTGCAGTATATTAAAGAGAGATGCATACAATAAAACAAAAATATAATTCTGATGCGACTCTAAAATAGAAGCACTTAACAGCAATAACAGAAGATGCAAAGCCCTTGTCATTTAGGGTATGTCCATGCTGCAACCAGAGGTGTAATTTCCAGCTTGGATAGATGATCAAGCTAATGCGCTAACAGTAGCAGTGTAGCTGTTGTGGCCTGGGTGAGCTAGCTGCCAATGCTAACTAAGGCTTGGTCTACACTGCAGGCTTACATCAGTATATCTATCTACGTCTCTCAAGGGTGCAGAAAATCCACATCCCTGAGCGACACAGTTATACCAACTGAACTCCTGGTGTAGACAGCGCTGTGTCGATGGCATTCTCCCGTTGCTATTGCCTCTCGGGGAGGTGGAATATCTCTGTTGGCAGGAGAAGCTCTCCCGTTGGCGAAGACAGCGTCTTCACTAACCACTGCAGTTGTGCCCACGTGCTGTATGTACCTCAGACTCTAGGTACAGGTGGTTAGTTTGTCCCACTGCGGCTGTGCTGCCATTTTTAGCAGCATGTTAGCTTGAGCAAAGCTAGCATGCATTCATCTATCCAAATTGGAAATGACACCTCAGCCCTAGTGGAGATGTACCCTTAGCATTTGACTGTGCAAAATTGCATTTTTTTCCTCAGGTTATTTCGAGCATTTGTAATTTCCACTTACATTCCAATCCAGGGATGTCACATCTTTGTTGCTTGGTACATCTTGCCCACCTTCTCGTATACAGTGTCGGAGTACCAGCTGCGTGGAGCCACTGGTGCTGTTTTCACTGAGGTTCCATATCCGTGCTGTTGAATCTCCAGATCTAAGCAATCAAAATAACATCAAATTAATTCATAACAACAGAAAAGACAGTGTCCTCTTCAAGAAGCACGGACATATAGTGTGGTATCCTCTTTAGAAACTTGATTTTAAAAATGTTATATGTTCATATATTTTCCATAAAACATTCAAAAACACATCAGTGAAAAAAAAGTCAGTAGATCTGAGAGCAGGTCCCAATTACAGTCATTCCAGGGACAGTTAGAATAGTCTGGTGTGATCAGACGCATAGGAGCAGTCTCACTTCTCATATACACGTTTGGTTTCCAGTCAGAATTTTATTCTGCAGGCTTTCCTCTCTCTGACAGAGCAGATCTATAAGATTTGTCAATTTATCCAAAACAAATCTTAACATTGTTATCTTCCCACCCCCTATAAACTAGCATCAGAATATCTAGATTATTACACACGCCTCCAGTACTGGAAACCATAATAACTGAGTTTCTAAGGGAGATAATGATTAGGTAAATTGGTTGTTTAAGATTATTAGAAAAAAATCCAACCACTACTGGTCTTTAGTATAAAGGAATAGATTTGCATGTACTATATAGAGCGTTCTGAACATTAAATGATTTACTCTTCACAATATTCATGTGAAGTGGGAAAAGTATTACTATTCCATCTTACAGATGAGACACAGCAAGAGTCAGTGCCTTGTTCAAGGTCTCATAGTGCGTTGGCATACTTGCAACGGTCCTGATCTCGGCTGGAGAGTCTCTAGCTTTTATCCTCCTTCTCAGGTGTCTTATATTTGTCCTGAGCGTCCTTGCTGTATTTCTCACCCTTGCAATGCAAGGCCATTGTTTTCACTGCTGATGGAAAACCAACTCTGCTTCTTCTGCCACAAGCAGGGAGGCAGCCGTTGGAAGCTGCCATTCAGCTCCCCTCAGGAGGCAAAAGAAGAGGCCGAGGGTAGGAACAATGAAGGGGGGAACTGAAAGAATGCAAAGGGGTGAATACCACACTGGTACTAGAATAGGGAGAATCGGATTGGCTTCCTTTCCCCCTCTCCAGCCATATTGGGGAAGGCCAGTTAGTCAGAGATGCATAGTTGATGGCCCGCATCCCCCAGTATTTGGAGCAAGCACTCAACTCTCTTGATAGTTGGATATATATATATATATCCCCTAACATTTAAAGTTCACCAGAGTGCACTGAAAATCTTCTGGCAGCTGGATGCTGCCAAGCACTCATACCTTGTAGGGAAAATTGTTCCTAGGGGTAAAAAAGTTCTAATGTCAGGAACTTCAAGACAGTGGCAGAAGAGAGACTGTCTATGGGGCATAGCGTACTGTGTTTGCAAAGTATATGAATACCCAGTTGCAATGAGAACTGCCATTTTTGCTTCCTTTTGTGAAAACATACCCTGAGGCCAGAAGGTCGCTAACGGGGTTCCAGGCGCAGATGAATACTTCAGATTCATGACCACGCAGCACCACAGCTTTGTTAGGAGGGATTTCAACATCTCCATCCACTTCCATCATATCCGTATGATTATCTGAATTATGGAAAACAACAGAAGAGAGTTTGGATTTTTACAGCTTGGGGTAATGTATTTCATCTGCTGAATATTAACTGGTAGGTTTATTCTGGAAGGGTAAATTCACAGAACCTACAGGCTAAGATTTTTGAATGTAACAGTGATTTCAGATTCAGATATCCAATTTGAGAAACCTTAAAGGGACCATTAATTACAAAAAGCACCAAAAGCCCTCCCTTAAGCCTCTTTAAGGTGTCTCACACTGGGCACCAAAAACTGAGGCCAAAGTTAATAGTCACTTGTGAAAAATCACTGTAAAAATTGTATTTAAAAAAGCATACTCTCGCTATTTGTCAGGCCTTGTACTAAATGGATGAATAAAAGAGAGTATCTGATTTCTATCTTATGAATGTGAAATCAATTGCCTTTACTGTACATGAAATATCAAACTTCTGCATTTTAAACTTTAAATTAATGGCTATAAATGAATGTGAAATCAACATTTCAGGCCCTTCACTTCTAAAAATTATTTTAATTAACAGGCAGACATTTGGTTTTCTTGATACATGGTACACTGATAACTGAGATTTTTCATCTTATATTGACAACTAGTGTCAAATTATGATTACATGTTGCTTTTCCATGTGGAAGGTATACTGAATCCTCATTGTTCTGTAAAATATACTCCGGGTAATTCATTATTAAAAAACAGCTTTATTGCCAGCTACCACCAATACTTCTCTATTTTAAAAAATATTATTTCACATCAAGAGAGTTTTCTTGGAGAAAACCAAGATGAATATGAAGAGTGGTAAACATCAAACTGCTCCACATTTATCCATGGCAGTCACTGTATAAACAAAACCACTGTACATACATTGCTTAAATTTAATAGTAAAGGTGTTTTAGCGGCGTGTGTGTCAGTGCTTGTGTGAGAGAGAAGAGAAGAAGCTATTAGAGCACCATATAAAAAACTGTATTGATTGAAGAGAATCAATATCAATATGATTTGGTGTTCCAGCCAGTAGGGGTTGCTGGTATATCATATTTTTACACTAGCTTAGTAGAACAGTTCTAAAGCTTGAGGTTACAACTCACAGTTAACAAGGAAATATTACTATGGAGTTTTGAAATTTATAAAATTTATGGAGGCAGTTTGTTTTTCCAGATTCATTTATTATAGATAAATAAATGAAAGAAACTAATAAAATGCAACTGTAAAGCTGGGCAAATAATGCACAAGCTTTAAGTGAATATTCAGTCAAAATTTTCTTTGGCTGCTCTTCTGCCCTATTGCATTCTTTTTCTAAAACGTTCACGTAATCGGGCCTTTCCATTAATGATTGCAGAAAGCTAAATTTCTTTTCTGTAAGCTTTCACACTATGAATCTGATTGTAAGAGTAAACTTATCCAAACCTATGATTTATGTGATTAATCACAACTAAACAGCACAGCTCCAATACTAAACCACTGAGTAAACAAAATTTGCAAGAATTCGCATCAAATAATTTTGAATAATGAATCAAGAAAACTGTGATCTGTACTGTTGCAAGAAGGTAGACATCTTTTGGTATCAAAGTGATTTATATTAAATTTCCATGCAAGGCTGGATTCTTCTCCTTTGCAGTTGCGATCTTCGTGGTGTGGCCACCAGGAAACTGGTTATAGGTGCCTGATTGAATAGGCCAGTCTGACCCTGTGCTGGCACTGGTATGAGTCAGAGTAACCTAGGCACTACTCTAACTTAAACTAATTGAGGATTGGTGAGTGGCGTTATGCCCTCCCTGCTTCCTATCCTCCGTACTGGGGTGAGGGTGGGGAGAAGCAGTTCTCAGAGGAGTCATCTCTGATGGCTTTATTCCAGCTGAGAGCTCCCCTACCCTGGGGGGAATTCTCAGATGGCAAGTTACAGCAATAATCCCCAGTGGCACAAACGAGCCAGGTTGGAAATGAGAATCTGGCCTACAGTACTGATGGTCCAGAGTTTAGAAGTCTCTATTCTGACACACTGTAGAGAAACGGACTATTAAAATATCACATATAAACTTCTCCACAAGTCATGAGGTTACAGATCCAAGCCCCTTTATCTGATGGATGCATTTACTATCTGAGGGGTACACTACAGATACAATAAGAGGCTGCATCTACTGATGAAAAGTATTATCTAAGAACTAGGTATTATTATTATAACAAGGATATAGCCACACAATTGTGTACATAGATGGAGATCTTTTTCTGCCACAACTTACTTGCTATAGTGTGCGCTCCATTCTCCTCTCCGTTTGCAGTATTTTCTCCATTTTTCGCAGATCCCTGTTGATTAGTTGCAGCTGCAGCAGCGGCAGCTGCTGCCTGTTGTTGTGCAAGTTTATCTCTGTAGGCCTGTTGTCTTGTTTGTACCACATCAGGCATTACTGCATCTATCAGTGAGAGAGACTCTATTGGCCTACCGTCAAACAAGGTACCATCCTAATTTGGGGAGAGAAAAAACACACAGAAAAGATAACACCAAATGTTAGCTGTCATTAACAACAAAAATTCCAGGAAAAACTGTGCATTCCAAAAATTGTAGTTTAGTATAATAAAAAGGCAACCAGTCACAAATGCAGAGAGAAATGCTATACAGAATATGTCATCATTTAATTTCTCTGCAGTTAGGCCTGGAATTTTACTCAAAAGTTGGAGTGATCATCATATATAGTGAGTAAACAAGCCATGGTAGGCCTCTCGCAGAGGCTCTGGGACCAAAAGTTTGAAATAACCTTTTGTAAGCTACTTATGAATATGATTTCAAACATGAGTGATTGCAGCAAAAAAATCCAACTGCATACATTGCAAGTTTAGACTACCACTTATGAAGTCCTATGAAATTTTCCATAAACACAGTATCTGGAGCTTTGAGTAGTTTTTGTTTCTTTTTAAACAGTGTTAGCATAATTTAAAAACAAAGAATTGTATCACAAAATAGGCAAGACCCTGTCAAAAATAGTCTCTTATACGTTAGCTAAGGCCTTACAAGGGTCTATTTTTAGAACCTAGAGGGATTCCTAGTGATAAATAGAGGTTCTCCTTCTCCTGTTCTGAGAACTTGCTTTGTTTTTACGACCCTTCCTGAGGAAATGGATTTCTTTCACTCAAGCTGCGGAAGCTGCAGCTAAACCACCTCAAAGACCCGAGAGAGATTGTGAGGACACCAGAATTGATGCAAAATCTGTTTGTCTGCCATAGCTTAATTGACAAATATAAAGGTGTCTACTGCAAGAAGCTGATACCTTACAGGATCAACCTTTTAGATATGTATCTTTCTCCATTGCTGGAAACACGCTCATGGAATAATCATGGAAGCATCATGTATAATAGATCCAACTAGAGATCAATAAGCCAGTTCAGGCAAAATTCGAGTCTCCCGGGCACGTTCATCATTCCTGTCCTAACCAAATTCAAATGTTTTCCCCATTGGTAGGCCCCTGACAGTTAGAGTTCTACGGGTCTTCTCCTCTCCCTCCTCACCCCCCCACCCCACCCTACCTTAACAGGGGCTCTAGCTACAAGAGTTGGTGGAACCCTGTAGCCTCTCCTTTCTTGAGCCTCTCTACTGAAACTGGGGCTTCCTCAGTACTCTCATTCAGGACACACCATATACTTTGGAAATCCCAACAAACAAGGCCGTTTATTGAAAATCCTGATGCCACTGCTTGAGAAGGGAGCAATAATTCAAAGATAAGGAAGTTTCCGGGCCTCTTGGTAGGTAGGTGATAGTGAGAGGGAGACTGCCCCTGAGTTGAAAGGGGAGGTAGTAAATCTTAAAGAATTTGAATGAATCCCCAAGCTTTTGGACTATTCTCTAAACTGAACCCCAGAACCTTTAGATGTTTGCCTATCATTAATCTCAGTTCACCATGGAACGAAAACCTTCAAACAGAAGTTAAGAATTCTTGTTCTTTTGTACTATTATTTTATAGTGTGCGTATTTTCTGGATTAACTACAACATTATATTAGGGAAAAAAACTCTACAGATAACGGACCTTTAAGCAATGAGCCAGCACACCATGCCTGGTGTTGTGTGGCTGCACTGGGCAGAACCCCTACACAGTTATGTCACTCCATTCTGGTTCCACCAGTGGAGTCATGGTGAACACCAGCAGTAAGGAATCTGAAGTAAAAGTAAATAAATAGGACACAAGAGAGTTAAGAAAAAAATACCAGTATTCAAATGTAATGTAAGCAAGCACATAATGCTTTTGTAGGCATCAAGAAACCTCCTTACCTCATTAATACTGACTTCAGCCTCTACATACTGCAGACCTTTCTGGATGATAGAAATCAAAGCAGCTGGTGGCACCAGAGCACCATTTATATTAGACTGGCTGATATGGCTCTCTATACCAAATGTAAATGCTGAATGAGAAAACCCTAAAAACAAGGGGGAAACTATCAGAATTGATTTATTCATATACTGACAACTCTTTCTCAAAATATTGCAAGATCTTCTGGTTACAGAGACAAACAAATGTTATAGCAAACATATAAAAGAGAAACCTCAAACATGCCTCTATTATATTTTATTTTAAACGTGTAAGCAATACAAACATCAAGTTAAACACAAATACAGAAAATTTCAGTTATATTAGGTTTGTATTTGCAATACACATATGATGAGATAAAAAAAGCATTTAATATTCTCTATTTTATGATACTTTTCCTTTTATTTTTGTCTGTTTCTGTTTTGTTGATTTTCTCTTAAACACCGCATAGTCCCTCAGTAAAACTGATTACAAGTTATCAGGTTATAAGCCAGTTAAAGGGCTCTGCTGAGATTTACCTGTTACTTTTCTGTGCTCATAGATTTTTTTTTTATTACATACAAAAAAGAAAAAAATGTCTACGTAGCAGAGAATTAAATTCATGACAGAGCATTTTATTTGTGTGGGCTGGCACTTAAAATGACATGCTTGCTACACACTGATTCAAGAGTGGAAAGTTAAATCACACTGCAACACTGGTATTGGAAATTAACCTGTTCTGTATTTACCATGCAGAAACGTTTAATTTTACCCAATTAGCCTTCCACTTATGGAAATTATCCCCTTAAAATTCCCTTCTGGAAAACTCCTTTCAAACTTTATATATAGCACTACTTTTGTTACAACAACAATCTGCAAATGGAACAAAAATTTATAATGGTTTTCTATAAATTCATCTAGAACTCTGACTGTATTTCTCCCCCCCCCCCCCCCCCCCCTTTTTTTTTTTTTTTTTTTGAAGATAGGGACCGAAAGACTTATCCATCACTGCTTCTTGATGCTCTCTCTCAGTTTGAGGAGTCCATGAGCAGTGGGCAGATGCTGTATTACTCTCCATCTTCTCAGAACAAAAAGCCCACAGATCAAACCACAAAATCCCACTCAACCGAGCAAGAGGAGGATTTTATGTTGGAACTGAATAAATGACAATAAATCAATCTAAAAGCAGAACATTAATGGTTACTGAATAGTGGGTGGAGCTCTCTAAATTGGTAACTATATATCTATCAAGCCTTATGAAGTTTCCTGATATTATTTTTCAAACCCAATAGTCCATTTGATGTCTTGATCTATGTATAAGGGGTTGATAAGTTGCCCTTATAAAAGTATGTAGCTCGTCTTCAGCTCATTGCTACTGAAAATATGCTAAGATATGATTTGAAAAACACAAGGAGTTTGAGAAGAAATGAAAATCCGGGAAACTAAATCACCCAGATCAAAGAATTATAGAGACCCAGTAACTAGCAAATAACGTGTTTTTTTTAATTAATTCTTCGTTTTTTTTCTCCCCAGACTCAGAGTCACGTGAACAAAACTGTCCCTGACAAGTGCTTGACAATCTAATTGACAGAAATGCTTCTACAGCACTGATTTTCCAAAAGGAGCATCTTAACTGACAGCTAATACTCCAAAACTTCAAGTTTTCAAAAAGTCTGGAGATTACTAGACGCCACTGAGCAAAACTCAAACTCAGATGTTGGAATAAAAGGGACCATATATGTCAAATCCAAATCCCTGCACAGAGTGTTCTTTAATCCAGTGATCCCTCCCTACTAGTACCAATGGTGATACTTCAGGCTTTTGTGGCTGATCTCTACATACATCTTCCCTACCGTACCTTAATGATCAACAGTTGAGCCATTTGCTGTAGCAGAAGGGACCCTCTTTGCTTGACATTAAATTACGCCTGTTCTAAACCGGGAACAGAACTGGGCTACTCTGACTCCCAGCCCCACAATTGTGAGGCTGGTACCTGAAATTGTTCAATGTGAAATGGAGATTAGACTCAAAGCAGTTGAACAGTAGACATTAGGCACTGGCTGGTAAAGCAAAAGTTTAGGGTACAATTTTCAAGCAAATGTAAGTGACTTAGGAGCCTAAGTCCCATCTTCAAAAAGTGATTTAGGGTTTTCGGAGCCTAAATCCAACTTACTTGCACTGAGATCAATGGGAGTTAGGTGCCTAACCTGCTTATGAGCTTGTGAAAATCCCACTAGGCACCTCTCTGCATCTTTAGGTGCCTAAATACCTTTGAAAATCTGATCCTTAGTCACCAGGCATTTCTGAACATTTTACTTTTAGTCTACTCAACAGAGGGGCTAAACTAAAAAAAGAGGAAGAAAGTCTAAATGTTCTGCCTCGTGCTTGACATGACGCTCAGTAAAAGGTCTGGTACACCAGAAACACTAGAGAAATACTATTAAGGCTATCAAGCGTTCCCAAAGATCCTGAAGATAGATAGATAGTCCAAAGGCAGTAAAGTCACTCATAATCAGGTTCAACCTCTAAGTGCCTGTCACTGGAACGTAAAACAGAATGCATGTATTTAGCATGCTAGAAAAATCTTCTTCCTTTCATATTGCACTTGCCATCATTAATGGACCACGGAAAGTTGGTGCCTATTGATGAAAATGGCCAGCCTTTGAGCTTGTCTTATGGTCACAAAACCTTGGTGTTAGACAGCTTCTTGAAAATTGTTTCTCTTTTCAATCAAGTCCCCAAAGCAATATTCCCTTGAAGCTGAATGAGAAGAGACATAGAAGTCATCTGTTGGTGAAGGATGGAGCCAGAGGGGTCTTTTTTTAGCTTCTGCTCTGGGCTGCCATGCTGTAGGAAAGACAAAGTGGGTGAGGTAGTATTTTTTATTGGACAAACTTCTTTCCAATAAAAGATATTACCTCACCCACCCTGTCTCTCTAATATCCTGGGACCGACACAGCTACCACTACACTGTTGTAGGAAAGGCAGGCAGAGAGACACAAAGATGCAATCAGCTAGAGATGCAAAAGGCACAAGGGATATGAAAATTAGCCTCCAACAGATGGGTTGGAAGAAATAGAAGAACTTAGCCTAACTAGTGTATCCAATAGGACAGTGAAGGGTTTTGTTGTGGCTTTTGCTCTTCAGACAACAACACAAAGAAACCATATAGGCACAGCTGGGTCCCAAATAACCATGTTCACAAAATATACACAAACATGCATGTCTAGCTACATATTGTTGCTCTGACTGGTTTCTGAGGGCTTCTAAAAAATAGAAAACAGTGAGCACCATTAGAGGATTCAAACTATTTAAAGGGATACTACCCTTTTAGTGTATACTACAGATGTCATTGCTCCATATAGGCACAACTGGGGGGGAAAAAACAACCTTCCTTTGTGTATGACAACAGCATTAGACTTTTGCTCTACCCTGCTATCCTCAAGAGCTAGGAGACTTCTGTTAGTCTTGCACTAAGGAGCAAAGACTCACAAGTGAGAAACCTTTACAGATAGTGTCTTTAGAAAAGGGAATTTACTTTAGAGATTCTAAAATACATTCCTGGTAAAAAACTATTTATCCACATTTACAGTATGACAAATTCTGTGATTAGGAGAGTCTTTCGGAGGACTCCAGAATGGAAGCATACCACAAGAGTATTTTTCTGCAGCAGACCTCTTCAAGCGGCCCAGAGCATGAAGAATCTTGGGGCTGGTCTATACTTAGCCGCTAGTTCGGCGGCTGGAAATCGAACTTCCTGGTTCGATTTATCGCGTCTGGTCGCGATAAATCAAACCAGGAAGTGCTCGCCGTCGACTGTGGTACTCCAGCTCAACGAGTGGAGTACCGCGGAGTCGACGGGGGAGCCTGCCTGCTGCGTGTGGACCGCGTCTGAACAGCGGTAAGTTCGAAGTAAGGTATGTCGACTTCAGCTACGTTATTCACGTAGCTGAAGTTGCGTACCTTACTTCGACTTGGGGGGTTAGTGTAGACCAGGCCTTGGCCATCCAGCACGTCAAAGCTTCTTCTGAGCAAATGAGTTTCCAGAGACTCAACGAGACCTTATTTTATTAGTTAGAAGCTACCAATTTAAAATTACTAAAGCTGATTAAGTTGCAGGAGGCAACTTAGCAGAATCGATCCTCATGATGGAAACAGATAGAGAGAGAAAGCGACAAGAAGCAGTTCACATCTAGTGGATGAATCCACCTGGTTAAATTATAAATCCCAACAGCATGGATCTGACAAAGCCAATTACAGATGAATTATTTCTTGAATATCAAAGGAACTAAGAAATATTAACTTGATAATAATTCATGTACTCACCTGACTCTTGCAAGTATCTATATACCAGGAAGTTAACCTCATCACTGCTTATACTCATCTTTATTCCCACTTAAACCATGAGGTCACGACAAAGGATATAACCCTAAAAATAAAGTAAAAAACCGTAAGTTAGATAGGTATTTTTAAACAACCAATGCCAGTTTCTCAACAAATGGTATATAAAAACAAGACACTTCTTCACAATGTTGAAAAAGTGGATTTTATTTCACAATGTAAAATCTGTCTGAATTTCCACCTTTAAAATGCCATTTATCTCACACCACTGTAAAAGATCACTCTTTTAAAAATCAAGCCAGATACACAACTGATGTAAATTGACATAATTTGATGGCACTATTTCAATTAACAGAAGAAAGGACTGGCCTCATTTAAAAAAAACAACCACCAAAAAACAACAACATGATATAGGTAATGTAGTTTGTAGCAAATCACATTATTAAACTAGAATTTAGCTTTCACTATTTAAACTTCTTTCCACTTGGTCAATGAAACTAGAATACTTGCTTTAAACACTTTTATTTTCTAATCAATTTTATTTTCAGGTTCTCAAGCAACAGCACAATGCTGCAATGTATAGACTGCAGGGATATATTTGTTTAGGAAAAAACATACTTCCGTTAAAATAAAACCATGGTAATACTGTGGCCTTTGTAAAAGCATTATATTTTTAAACAGAATATAAATTTGGGGCCAATTTTGACCTAACAGCATTCCTTTTAATAAAGGCTTTATCTGCTTTTAATTAACATTTGAATATATATTTCATTTTTTATTTGACGTCTGCACAGTAACAATGATTGTCAGTGGCATTTATCAACAAAAGAACTCCAAGTACATAGATTCTGTCAGAAATTTGGGCAATATTTTGCGGCATGTAATCCAAACAACTATCTGAAAGAATCTCTTAATTAGGGTTAGCATAATTTAATTTAAAAAAAAGGAGGACACTCCACGGGGCCCTGGCCCCGCCCCAACTCTGCCCCTTCCCCGCCCCCAAAGTCCCCGCCCCAACTCTGCCCCCTCCCCTGAACGCTCCGCCCCCTGCTCCTCCCCCTCCTCTGCTTCCCGCGAATCAAATGTTCGTGGGAAGCCTGAAACAGGGAGGCAGCAGGTAAACTGGGGCTGGGCGCGGCCCAGTCTGGCCCCCCCGGCCCTGCACTGCCGGCCCCCGGCCGAGCACCGCCGGCCCTGCACCGCCGGCCCCCGGCCGAGCACCGCCGGCCCCTCCCTCCCTATTTTCCCGGACATGTCCGGCTTTTTGGGATTTCCTCCCGGACGGGGATTTGAGGCCCAAAAAGCCGGACATGTCCGGGAAAATCCGGACGTATGGTAACCCTATCTTAATAGTTATAACAAAGTTAATACACTAGCCTTTGCCTCTGAAGACCTAGATTAAAATGCTAATTTAGGTCACAGTGAAAATGTAGTGGTCTCATCCTAGATTCTCAGTCGTAATCAAACTACCACACAACTTGGTATGATTGACAGTGTGTATTCAAGAAAGAGCTGTGATAGCAGAACTGTGGCAAGTTACGACTGAGGTATGTTTACAAGGCTGTGAAACTCTCTCTCGAGGCCTGATCAAACTTTACGTGCCTCTAACAAGTGCTTGTAGTCCCTAACTTTAAGAAGTCTCAAATTCACACGAGAACAAGGGGGACAATATGGAGGAATAGCACAGGTCTTATAGAAGGTCAAACTGCACAGTCCATGTTATTCATTTCTACTATGAAACCAAACCTGTTAGCCACCATTATGCTATAGAATCCATCAGGCACTATCTTGCTAACAGTCCTGCTCTTCCTCTATATCTACAGGTATGGTGCAACTGTAAATGCACAGCTCATAAATTAAATCAGAGACAGTGAATCTGCAGATGTGGATAAGAAAATCAATTTTGGCCCCTAAAAAAGGCAGGTCTATTGTTGCAGAAAATCACTCAATACCATCAACCACAGTGCTGCCAATTATTGCAATATTTGGTGTTTTTCTTAAAGCCCCAACAGCTGGGGTCAAGAGACTGAGTCAGAATCCCTGCTTCCACTTCAAAAAAAAAAAAAAAAAAAGTTAGTTTCTAGCTCTCATAGTTGCAGAGAAAAGCTTAAAAATGTGAACTGAGTGCACCCTAAAGGCTCAGAAACCAGAAGACAAGATACAACATTTATAGCTTTGGTTTTTTTAAACAATGATTTTGAATGTTTTAGAGGTTGGCAATACTGAGCTCACTGGTATCCGAGTTTGAAAAAGTTAGTCAAAAATGAAAACATGAGACCTCCCTCCCCCCCCCCCCCCCGCCTTTTGACTAAAAGTTAATCAAAAATGATTTTGCAACAAGATCTCATATTTCCCTCATTGTCCTGGCACCAGTAAAACATAAAAGGAAACAGTAGAGAATAGGCCTTCTTGGATTGTCCAAAATGAATATCACCTCACAAAATAGGAATAAAACCTGTTGGCTTCCTCACCTAGCTCCTACTGTAACTTGTAGCAGGGTTGTGTGGTCATTTGATACTAAGGGCCAAGGAGAGGGAACTAAAAGGGCAGCAATTAGTGATGAAAAGCTAAATAAGAACAAAACAAAAGAAACCCACAAGACCAGGGTCACTAGATAGCTGAAATTTAAAAGGCTTTACATTCTTTCTAGGACATTCTTTTTCTTTAAAATAAGAAAGAGACCAAATTGCAATTTCTATGCTACTTGAATCTGTCTCATCTCTCTTTCTTCTGAAGGCATAACAATGCTTACAATTGCTAGTTAGCAGGACCCAATGTCCAGATTTTAAAAGTATGTTGATACCCTTTTCTTACAAATAACGCTTGGCATGTTTAGTTAAGTAGCTTACCTTAAAGTCACAAACATGCTGATAATGAAAAGAAAAAAGTGGGCAGTTTTTCTTGATAAATCCACAAACTAAAAGGTAATATAGCTAATCATTTCTGGGGTTGACAAATTTCTGAAGAGCTGTCCTGCTGCAAGCTTAGGCATTTTGCCTTGCAAAATACTAGAACAAATGTGTGAATTCTATGATTTCTATAATCATTTGGAATTTTAAAACAAGTTTAAATATAATTTTTAAGGCTCATGTTGCTAAACATAGGGAATATATGTGCTTTTCAACTATGTTGTATGTATCAGCAACTCCACCTAGCATAAAAACATCATGAAATACTAGTCCTTTTTAGACAGACTGTTTTGTTGTCAAATATTGTACATTATCCTATTACCCCAAACCACTAGCTAAAGGGAAGGAGTTCCATGGCAGAGGAAACAATAGTCCTCTATAAAAAAAAAAAAAAAGTAGTTGAGTTATAGGGGCCAATGTGGAAGTCTCCTTATGTTATATACCCACACACCCTGCAGAAATTCATAACACTGACGTGGTGCCCCTACTACCATTTTATAGATTTTTTAGATTTCACTGCGTCATAAGAAAAATAAGAGATAGCCAATATGGAGAAATCAGGTGTGAATACAAATATTTAATATTTAGCAAATAAATAGCATTATTACTACCAAGAGGGCTAGCTATTCAAAGCAGAATTGCAAAACTGTGATACAAACGTACCAGCCACCTGTTCTTTATCCTAATAATTGAAGATAAGGAAAAACTAATATTTTGCTTGTCTGTCAAAAGTGTTATTCACCTTAGGCAAGTAAGCTAGTAACATTTTGCAAGGCTGGTTCAAAGTGTTTTCCAGCAAGATGTTCAGTGAAGTAAGGAGAAATAACTGGCATTTGTCCCTCATGAAAACAGGTTTTAGATCTCATTGCCAAAAGGTGGCAGAGTATAACACAAACTTTTGAAATACTCAACAGTGCTTGAAAAATAAGAAAACATGTTAAATAAGCATAGAATCTGCCCAGTGAGGACATTAAAATATTAGAGAATTATTACAAGAAAAGTTTCCAGATTCTTTTAGAGCCTTGGTTTTAGCCATTTTCTACAGCGCTTGTTTAAAATTGCTACCGACTACAACACATCTCTGTCACCTTTCATCACAAGGGATCCCAGCTCTATACATGCAAGAAACAATTCACTACTGAATTCCACTGACCTCTATGTAGAGAGTAGAGAGCAACAGCCAGGCAAAGAACCACCACACATTCCGCTGTACAAAAATGGGAAAAGAGGGAGTTTGGCAAACTTTTGACATAGAATGAAAAGTAAAATTCAATGCAGGTGAAAATGTTTAAGCAAGCACAGAAGGTAATCAAGATGCCACTAAAACTCTCCTTTTGACAAACTTCTACTTCATGGAAGTTCCATGAGACCTTAAGGGATAGAATCTGGGTCCTGCTGTGGGCAATTCACACTGGAGTACTACTGCAAAGCAGCTGCAAAGCTGGCTTAGCCAGCTACCCCAATGCACAGAAATCTCCAGGAGGAGTAGGGCCAGCATAGCCAGCTCCACATCGCCCCTTTTCATTCTCCCTGATGTTAGGGTGACTAGGTGTTCGGTTTTTGACCGGAACACCTGGTCGAAAAGGGTTCCTGGTGGCTCCGGTCAGAACTGCTGACCAGGCCGTTGACTGTCCAGTTAGTGGTGCAACGGGGCTGGCAGGCTCCCAGGAAGCACCCGGCATGTCCCCCCTCCGGCTCCTATGCGTAGGGCAGGATTGGGGAATCCAGGGCCTGCGGGCCGCATCCGGCCCCGCAGTTAATTTCATCTGGCCCGTGGGGCAGGGGCCATGAGCGACATCTTGCCCTGTTGCGGGGGGTAGGGGGAGCCCTGAGTCTTGGCGCCTCCCTGCGGGGCTGGAGCCACAAGCAGGGGAAGTCCTGATATGGCGTGGCAGAAGGGATCTAGCAGCAGTTCGCATGTGTTGGAATGGCCTGGGGAGCTGTTACAGCCACACACAAGTTCTATCAGCCTTGAGGCAATGTGGAGGCCGAAGCCTTGTCAGGTAACAACTGAATCCAAAGCAGCCAGCTATATTAATACATCATTAGTGCTCAACGCTGCACAGCCATCCCATCACTTTCTCCTGGAAAATACAGAGCTATATAGGATTTCTGCCAAGGAAAATAATCATAATAGGAATATAAATACATTAAATTAGCTAACCTACAAATTGACTGA